TCTGAGGCATACTCATATTGCCATCTAATTTGTTGCAAAGCGATTCCCAGTTCTGTCGCGAAAGAGTGGCTGCATGGGTCCTCTATCTCTTTGCTCAGGCGGGCCAGGCGACGTCTAAGAGTTCGGTTCCAACGCTGGCTTTGCCAGCGTCGTTCTAGGCTTGTTTTAGCGTCCCATAAATGTAGGAGACGAGAGTCAACTGTGTCGCTTGGGCAGTCCTCTCGTACTAGACGAGTTGCGGATCGGACATCACTCCGGAGTTGTTCTGACCATTCAGTGATGTCCGTGATAGAGGCGTGGGTGCGTGTTGCCCTATAAGGCGGAAAAAATCCCAGTTGGTAAAAGTGGAACCTCTGAGAACCCTGCGGGGTAGTTGCATATTTAAGAGAATTTCGATAATGTAATGGTCACTACCCAAATTCTCTTGTGTGTTGCACCATGTGGCATGAGGGAGGCGATGTGCGAACGAGAGATCTGGTGTAGTGTCCTTGCAGACACTATTCCCTATGCGTGTCGGAAAGGCAGAATCGGTGAGCAGTGAGAGGCCGGCTTGCTGCGCTGCTAACCACACCCGACGTCCTTTTGGTGTGTCGCGCGGATAACCCCAGGCTGTATGTGGGGCATTGAAATCTCCCACGACGAGTAGGGGGCACTTATTGGCTATGCGTTTCGCGAGCGTAAAGAGGCGCTGGAAGTTGCCCTGTAAGCACTTAGGGCTGCTGTATACATTCAGGATGAAGAGGCTTTTAGCTCTGGCATGTTGCGGCACAAGCTCAATTAAGAGGTGATCAATGTCTTGGACTGCTAAACAGTGGGAGATGGTGGTGATTGAGCGATTAATTAGAAACGCCACCCGAGAGGGTGTAGGGGATGTGGGTGTAATAGAAGTATAGCCGGGTAAGGTTAGGGGGTTGGAGGGTTCTTGTAGGGCAAGGATATCGGGTCCCGCAGCGCAAGATAGCAGTTGGTGGACAACATGACGCTTCTGGCCAAAACCTCGGCAGTTCCACTGCCAGAGTGTCAGATTACGGTTTAGAGCTGCCATCATGAGAATTGAGAAGGGGCGTAGCCGCCGCGCAAGGTTGGGAGTCGTTAGTGACGTCAGGGAGTGGATTGTCTTGCCCTTCAGTTGCTTTGGGCTTCTTGCGTTTACTTGGGGTGAGATCCCGTTTTGCAAGGCGTGTTGCGAACAAATTGAGCTGTGATTCAAGATTGTTGTAGCGGTCAGTTAATGTTTGAGCTAAAGCATCAAGACGATGATTAAGTGCTGCATTGTCTGTTGTTACACGGATTACCGCATCTTGGAGCGTTGTGCATTCCTGATTGATGCTGGTGATACCTTCCTGCAATTTTGCCTCAAAACGAGCAGTAAAAGACTCAAGCATGGTTGGAATATCGGCTAGTGAGCTGTGTGTTGAGGGACGCGGGGTAATGTCCTGATTTGTGTGCCGAGGAAATGCCGTGTCGATATCTAACTCAAGCGAATCAGAGCAGGATGTCGCGTTGACATGGCTGGGTGGGAAAGACATGCTAGAGGTGTTGGGTGGGTTGTGCGCAGGAGTTTGGGATGTAGTAGGAGTTGGGGTAGGTGGAGTGGCATGGCTTGTGGCGAGAGTACTTATCTGGGTCTCCAGCTTCGCGATGTGTTCTCGAAGGGCAGCGGCTTCAGCTCGGGCTGCTTGAGCTTCTGCTTTGGCTGCCGCTGCCTCCTCCCGAGACTTGGCCAGAGCGTCTTGCAGACTGGAAGTCACTGTTGATGATAGTGCGTTCTTGCAGGGCGAACGGGGAGGGCCCCAATCTTGTTTAAGCGGCTCGGTCCAGGCTTGCTTGGGTTGGCTGAGTTGGCTGGGCTGAGTGGGTCCCGCTGACAACTGGGGGAAGTTGTCCCCGTGTGGAACCGGTTCTTGTCGCTGCGTTTGAGGTTGCTTTGTCGTTTTGCGTGGCTGGTGAAGGTTGCGTCCTTTGCATGAACCAGTGCCGGTAAGATGAGGGCCCTCGCACAGAATGCACTTAGGCGTGCAAGGAGGTTCCTGGGGTGAGTGTTGGCTGCCACAGCGTGGGCAAAGATTAGTCTTGGGGCTTGGGCATACGTCGTGACGATGGCCCGGTAGTCTGCAGTTCGTACAAGCATCCGGACTTCCGCGGTATGGAGTACAGCGGTGAATGGCTCCCATGTATTTAATGGAATGTGGCACCTCATTGGCGTCGAAGGTGATGAGAATGGAGTGCGTCTTCCCCATTCGTCGGGCTGCGAGTATAGAGTATTCAGGATTCCGTTTGACCAGGTCTTCGTACAGCTGGGTTGGCGTCTCGTCGTCAAAGGCGTTTGAGATGACCCCTCTTGTAGCTCCTGGTGGGGGTGCCACGTAAGCCATGCAGGGGTAAGCATGGCCACCAATGGTGAGTGAAGTCAGCGTCTTTAGGAGCTCGGCTGCGGCGGAGTGTGTTGTAGCTGCCGTGAATGTATTATTAGTGGGGTGTATGCGCAGGCAGAAATCATCGGGCAGAGTGGTTTGAAGTGCGGCCTGCACTGCCTTCATGAGTCGAGGCGTTGGGACATCTAGGAGTCGCAGTTGACCTCGCGGACGAACAACGACGCGAATAGCGTTCGGTGGGAGTGGCGGCAGTTGCTTGCTGCGTTTTACAATGATGCGCGTCTCCTTGGTAGCAGGTGGTAGGTGGGTTGGCGTCTTGCCTCTTCCAGTTGCAGCTGCTTCGACGCGCATGGCGTTCGGGTTGGTCTCCTTGACGGTAGCGTTGGGTTGCGAAAGTGGTTTCTGTGAACAGGCTGGTCGAGACGCATAGGCTTTGTAGAGAACTGGTGTCCAATTGCCTGCCTGGAGCTCTTCAGCGGAGATGGTGTGGCCCTCAACCGTTACTTCCATAATAACGGGAGGCGTTGCTGCCAGTGTCTACGAAGGAGCGGAGTCTCAGAGAGGCTTAGCTCGGATGCTCAGCGTCTCGGTTCACTAATTGTTGCACACAGAACGTCGGAGCTTGCCCGGAATGGGCGTCGTCTCTGTCTTCCTCAGACCCTTATGTCGCTGTTCGAACAGGCTAGTGACCGCAGGAAAGGTTGGTAAAGAGTAGCACGTACCGTTTGCCGGAGCCGACGTTGCAGGCATCCGCTCACGTTGGCCCCCTAGCGGCGAATCGCCACAGAAGAAGATCGTGTGGAAAGTAGCGCAGGAGTCAGGAAGGAACAATTTCCATTGAAATAATCTTTTTTTTTTTTTTTTCCACATAGGATTGTAGAGTGGTAGCGGTCCCACGAGGGGCGAGTACTACCGAATGCTTAACATGAATTTCGGAACATAAGCACGATACCGGGCATTCACAGAAACGAGGGACACAGGACTTTATTGTGAGCGTCCGGTTTACGCTCTAGTATTCTCGAAACTATGCATCATCTCGGTAAATTTTAAGTTGTATTCAAATATTGGGTATCCATACTACGCAGTTTGAATTTTACTGATGAGTACAATCGTTCATGGCGGCTTTATGTGTCCTAGCAGTTGAGTTTTTCATTCAACAAAACCTTCTTAGAAAGTGTTCACCTTTGATATTTCTTTTGCACCGCGTGCATTCAATTCATTCACATTATTCTGTAGAAAAGGAAGAGGGCCATGGAGGAAAGAAACAAAAATTGGCAGCATATCCACGGAGTAAATGATAAAGAGTGGGGCGAAACATTCGTCCGTCCATTCGTGCTTGCTTCCGTCCATCCATACGCCCGTCTGTGTGACTTTCCATGCTTCCATCCGCCCGTCCGTGCGCCAGTTCGTGCGTCCATCCCTGCGTTCGTCCATGTATCCACCCCTGCGTCCGTTCTTGCGTCCATCCACTCAACACTCCAAGTACCACCATATCGCATCTTTTCTTTATATATTCGATGGATGGATGGATGGATGGATATGGCTGTACCCTTTAGATCGGGCGGTGGCTAGCGCCACCAAGCCTTAATACTTAATAAACTCAAAATTATATTTATTTTTTTCCTTAAAAAGTGAGTTTGAGGATTCGTACTTTGCAGTGAAGAGTTAAATTTTCACTCGTGCCTTGACTTTAGCCACCAATCAGATAACCCCCCTCTAGTTAAGTCTACTTGCTTAAAGTCTATTTTGCCCTCCCGGTCCCTAAACCCCAGTGCTTTGAAAACCTCTGCGCCATCATCCTGAACTATAGGGTGAAGCCCTTTACAGAACATTATCAAGTGCTCGGCAGTTTCTTCTTCCTCTCCACACGCACTGCATACTGTGTCTACTCCTTCGTATTTGGCCCGATATGTTGTGGTTCGCAGTACTCCCGTCCTTGCCTCAAACAATAGAGAACTACCCCGAGTATTATCATAGATCCTTTCCTTGGCAATTTCCTGCTTAAAAGTTCGATAGATCTCTAGTGCGGACTTCTTAATCATGGCCATTTTCCACATGTCAGTCTCCGTTTCCTTCACTTTCTTCTTAACCGATAGTTCTTTTTGGTTTGGTCACCTGCTGTTTTCTAAGTATTTACCAGTCAACTTCCTGGTTCGCTTCCTCCATTTTTGTATCGTTTAGCTCAGAGACAAGACGACGATGAACACGTGGCTGGGCCTCGCCATAACGAAAGACCCCTGGCCGTTTATTTGCTGGGCTTAAGTAGCCGGGGGAAGGGGGAAAGAAAGAAAAGGAAGGAACGTAAAGCGCACGAAACGGTGGAGAGGAGGAGAAGACGATATCGCCTAGGGCGAATGCTGATAGCAGGTAGTCCGGTCTGTTACATCTTCTCTTCACACATTTTCAAAACACTGATTTCTTTTGCACTCATTTACTTGATGGAAGGATGGCCCGTAGTGAAGGCGCTTCGGTTCGCTGCGCTGGCGTCCTGACCTGCGCAGGCCAGCCAGTGGGCTTCCTGGAGTGTCTGGAGAAATGGTGGCGCTATAATCTTCTTCTGGCTGAGCTGGTTGCACCTGGTGACACCCCAGTGGGTTGTCCGGCGTGACGTTGCCGCGGTGTCCATCACTGAACTTCGTCGGGGTTCGGATTACCCTCGGGGCTGACCGTGTCGTTGAAGTTTTCGTCCGTTCGCAGCAAGTGTTGTCGGTTCCGTCTCAGGAGCCCATGGTCTTCCGTTCTTACCACGTATGATCGTGGTGCAGTCTCTCGTACCACTTTCGCTCGGCGTGACCAGCTTCCATGTTTGATCCGGACCACATTTCTGGCTTCCAAGGGTGGTAGTGGCCTGCCTCGGGAAGACTGTCGCTGTTTCCATACGGGTATGCCTCCGTCAACGTTGTATTCTGGAAGAGTGGCGTGCAGGCGACGACCTTGCAGTATTTCTCCAGGTGAGTGACCGCTGTCAAGGGGAGAAGATCGATAAGCCAACAGACCAAGCCATACATCACCCCGGGACTCGTGGGTTTTCTTTAGAATACGCTTCACGATCTGTACCCCCTTTTCAGCTAAGCCATTTGATCGTGGGAACTCTGGACTTGAGGTGATATGCTCGAAGTCATATCGGCGCACGAAGGACGCGAACTCTCGCGATGCAAATTGAGGCCCGTTGTCGGTGCAAACTTGGTTGGGAATGCCGTATCGCGAGAAGATAGCAGATATCTTGTCGATTACTTCCGCCGCCGTGGCACCTCCGAGTTTCTCGACGTCAGGAAAGTTAGAATGGGCATCAAACACAACTACGTAGTGTTCTCCAGCGAATGTAAATAGGTCTATGCCTACGAGATGCCACGGTCGGTTGGGCGTTGGCTGTAGCAGGAGGGGTTCACTCGGTTGACTGTATGCGTACTTTCGACATACGCTGCACGTTCGCGCTCGTCGCTCAATGTCACTGCTCATTCCCGGCCAGAAAACCAGTCTACGGGCTCTAGCTTTGCACTTGTTCATACCTAAGTGGCCTTCGTGAATTCGCTCAAGAATTTCCGCACGCATTGATTTAGGCACCACAACTTTGCAACCCTTTAGCACCACTCCATTGACCACGGATAGCTCTTCCGCATACGGTTTCAGTACACCGTCTATTGCCATGCCATCTTCCATTTGTTTCATGGTGCGGCTGAGAAGCGGATCTTCGAGGGTTTCCTTCTGCAGCCGCAACATAGTCGCTTTGCTTATGATGCTGGTGACTACTTGCGTTGTGTGGACGTCCACGTCCTCGACTTGGTCGCCTTCGCCAGTTGGTAGTGCAGCCCGAGACAGCAGGTCTGCGAGTAACAGGTCCCTACCAGGTACAAACTGCAACAAAAAGTCATTTCATAAGACGGATGAAAAACCGCTGTATCCTGGGTGGCATATCTGCAATGTTCTTTTCGGCAATCGCAAGTAATGGCCTGTGATCAGTTTCTATCGTAATGCTTCGTCCATACACGAACTGATGAAATTTTTTACAAGCGAAAACAATTGCCAGTGTTTCCTTTTCTATCTGGGCGTATCGCTCTTCACTCGGCGTCAGCGCTCTTGAGGCGTAGGTCACTGGGCGCCAGTCATCCCCGTGTCTTTGCAATAAGGCAGCGCCAATACCTGTTTCTGAGGCGTCCGCAGTTATCTTAGTGTTTCTTTTTTCATCAAAAAGAGCCAGCAATGGAGGATTAGCAAGCGCTGCGCAGATCTGGTCCCATTCGCGCTCATGGGCTGTTGTCCACTTAAACACCGATGTTTCTTTCACCAGGCTACGCAGCAACACCGTTTTATCACTCAAAGCTGGCAGGTATTTCCGAAAGTAGTTCACAACCCCGAGTAATCTGCGCACACCCTGTTTATCTTTTGGGGCTGGCATGGCACGGACGCTTTCGATTAGATCGGGGTCCGGACGAATTCCGTCTCTTCCGATAACGTCGCCAAGGAATGCAACCTGCGTGGTGCCGAACACGCATTTAGCTGGATTAAATGTCAGCCCTTCCTCTTGCGCCCGCCTTAGTACTGCCATGACGCGTTCGTCGTGTTCTTCCTTTGAGTCGCCCCATATTAAAACATCGTCTACGTAGACGCGCACTCCCGGCAGCCCTTCGAACATCTCTGTTAGAGTCTTCTGGAACACCTCGCTGGCTGAGGAAATTCCGAAAGGCAGACGCAAAAAACGGTACCGCCCAAATGGTGTCGCAAAAGTGCATATTCGTGAAGTGGCCTCATCTAAAGGAATCTGATGAAAGCCGGCATTAGCGTCGAGCCGGGAGAAATATTGTGCACCTGCCAGCTCGCTCTCTATGTCCTCTCTTGAAGGGATAGGATAGTGCTCCCGCTTAATGCTCCTGTTCACTGCTCTAGGGTCCATGCAAATGCGAAGGGTACCATTCTTCTTGTGCACAACTACCAGGGGGCTCACCCATTCAGTTGGTTCATCCACCTTGACGATGATTGAGGCCTTTTCCATTCGTTGCAGTTCTTGTCGCAGGCGTCCTTTCAACGCTATGGGTACTCTGCGGGCAGGCTGCACGACTGGAACGGCATCCTCTCGTAGCACCATTTTGTAGGGTCGCCTGACGCAGCCGGTGCCGCTGAAGAGGTCAGGAAATGCAAGCTGCAATTTCGTTTGCCCATCGCCTACCTTCACGGCGTCCACCGTCACCAGTACCAGACCAAACTGCTGGCATGTCTTTAAGCCAAGGATGGCTTGGCGCCCCTTTTTCACGATAAAGAACGAGACTGAATGCTGTGCTTCGTTTTTCTCGAGATCTTCGGTCGCCACGCCAACGTGTTTGATTGTACTGCCGTTGTAGGCGGAGAAGACAGCGGCGCTCTTTCGCGGAGTGCTTGCGTGGGCGATTCGGTTGAACAGGGTTAGGGGCAGCAAATTTGCCTGAGACCCAGTATCTACCTTGAATTGTATCTCCTGACCGGCTATTTTTCCGCGAACCATCCAATCCGCTCCTATATCTCCGGTGACGCCGCAAATGCTGATGCCCAAGATGTCAAAATTTTCATCGCTTTCTTCGGCTTTGTGAACCTCGCTTATCCTGCGCGCATTGTTGCAGCATGCGGCGAAGTGATTTCGTTTCTTGCATGCATAACAAGTTTTTCCATACGCCGGGCACCGCTCGGGAGCATGTACCTTGTTACAAATTCGACACCGAGTTCCATTCGCAAACTTCGTGCGGTGTGTGCGGCGTGTAACGTCAACGTGCAGGCTTTCATTTGACCATGCTGCGCTCTGAATGGCAGCAATCTCAGCAGCTTTGCAAATTTATTCTGCTTTCTGCAAGTTTAAGTCTTTGTCGCTCAGCAACTTTCCTCGAAGTTTCGCATTATTTGTCCCAAACACCACTTGATCCCTGATCATGGACTCTTCAAGCGCACCGAAGTTGCACAGCTTTGCTTGCTTTTTTAAGTCCCGTAGGAACCACTCAAAGGGCTCGGCATCTTCCTGCTTTCGCAGTCGAAAAATGTGCCTTTCGTAGACTTCATTACCCTGGTCGACACAATATTCTTCAAATTTCCGCACTAACGTGTCATAATCTTCTTTGCTCTCACCTGCCGCAAACGAGAAGTTGTTGTAGACCTCGAGCGCCTCGTCCCCCGCGGTGCTCAGAAGAATCGCTGCTTTTACGGCCGATGGGCGGGGCTTCTCCGGTTCCGTAGCGGTGATGAACAGCTGCAGCTTCTGCTTGAATACCAGCCAGTTTTTCCTGATGTTGCCGGACAGTTGCAGCGGTTCCAGGGGCTTGAGGAGGTCCATTTTGGACGTCAGTATCCCACTTCTGACACCATGTATCGTTTAGCTCAGAGACAAGACGACGATGAACACGTGGCTGGGCCTCGCCATAACGAAAGACCCCTGGCCGTTTATTTGCTGGGCTTAAGTAGCCGCGCTCACAGCGGGGAAGGGGGAAAGAAAGAAAAGGAAGGAACGTAAAGCGCACGAAACGGTGGAGAGGAGGAGAAGACGATATCGCCTAGGGCGAATGCTGATAGCAGATAGTCCGGTCTGTTACAATTTTGTATCGACATTCTTCATGTACAAGTAGCTGAAAATCTTCCTAGCCCAACGCTCCTCCTTCATTTCTCTCAATCGCTTCTCAAATTTTATCTTGCTGCTAGCTTCCCTGCCCTCAAATGATGTCCATCCCATATCACCTTGTACTCCCTGATTTGGTGTATTCACGTGAGCTCCTAAAGCAAGCCTACCTATTCCACGTTGCTTAAATTCTAATCTTGCTTGAACTTCTGATCTCATGCACAAGACCACATTGCCGAACGTCAGCCCAGGAACCATGACCCCTTTCCATATTCCTCTTACAACATCATACCTATTGTAATTTCACAGTGCCCTATTTTTCATCACTGCTGCATTCCTGTTACCTTTAGTCGTCACGTATATTTCGTGTTCCCTCAGGTACTCGGTCCCATTGCTTATCCATACGCCCAGATATTTGTATTTATCTGTTATCTCTAGCGTGACGTCCTGTATCCTAAGCTCACTACCTTCGTTGTCATTGAAAATCATGACTGCTGATTTTTCCTTACTGAATCTAAAATCTAACCTGTCTCCCTCATTTCCGCAGATGTCCATCAATCTCTGCAAATCTTCCTTGTTGTTGGTCACTAGCACTATATCATCTGCGTATATTAATCCTGGTAGTGCCTGATCAATAAGTTTTCCTTGTTTGACTAAAGAGAGGTTGAAGCCCAGCCCACTTCCCTCTAATTTTGCCTCTAATCCTTGTAGGTACATCATGAATAATAAGGGTGACACGGGGCACCCCTGCCTAAGCCCCCGTTTTACCTCTGCAGGCTTGGATACCTGTTTTTCCCACTTTATAACTACCTTGTTACCTTTATAGATACCCTTTAAAATATTAGTGACTACATGTTCCACGCCTAGTGTGTCCAGTATTCCCCACAATTCCTCTTGAACCACGCTATCGTACGCTCCCTTGATATCCAAGAATGCTAGCCACAGGGGCCTGTGTTCCTTTTCTGCTATTTCGATGCACTGCGTCAGTGAGAACAGATTGTCTTCCAACCTCCTGTGTTTCCGAAACCCATTCTGCAGTTCCCCCAGCACCCCCTCATCTTCTATCCATGCCTGCAGTCTTTCCTTTATAATCTGCATCGCCAGCCTGTAGACCACTGATGTCACTGTTATATATTCCCCATATAGAAGCACCGCCATCCAGCGGACATTCCAAGGACTAAATGAGAGGTGGCACACGCACACTTTCTTACGGCTCGCGCTTCGGGTGTACTTCCAGCCTTTAACCACCTCGAGTTCAGGGTATATACTAGTTCACTGTATTCATGGCACTGCGCGGTCCAACGCTCGCTAAACCTTTCTAAAACCAAGGAGGTTACGCCCAGAGAGTATAACGTAGCATCCTTTTCCTGTCAGATGGTGCTCAATGTACATGCCAATGGCTGCTAATGGGAAATGAGAGATAGGAGAATTCGGCTTTTACTTTCTTACGGCTTACTTTTTACTTTCTTGTAGTTACAAAGGTTTGTCGCATGCTGCAATTGCATTCTCTCTTCTCTGGTCCAGACGAAAGCGCTGGAAGCTAAACAGAGGAGGGATGCAGGGCCCCAGAAAAAACATCACACGCGACCCGTGACCTTTGAGCCCTTTTTTCTAGTTTTTTTCTTTGAATGCGCCGCTTTTTCAGTGTGATCACGCGCGCACGCGTGGACAAGTCGCGGCCTTTCGCGGTGATATCTGTAACAAACGAGTGCGATATGTTCAAATCAGCCAATGGCTGATAGACGGGTAATTCACGTGTGATTTTTGGGCACATTCCGCCATTTGTCGAGAGAGAAAAAAAGCAATTTTTAGCTGACTTTGGTAATTTATTGTGAATTCCATGCCACGTGCTGTGCTATATTGTTTAGATTATTTGGATCGCATGTTGTCGGGAGCCTCTACTAGCGATCGGCTGCATTTTTTGACCATGCTCAGAAAGTGTTGCTGGGCCCCTTTAAGGTCGACGGATGGACAAGGCTGCAGAGCGGCTTGCGCGCAAGGCAGCGGCGGCTCGCGCTCGACGACGGAACCCCGATGTGCGAGCGCGCGAGGCAGAAGCGTGTCGTGAAGCTTCGCGGTGGCGCCGACAAGATCCCGGCGTACGAGAACGGGAGGCAGAAGTGGCGTGGTAACGGCGTGCGGCCCCAGCTTCGCCCCACTCTCCATCATTCACCCCGTAGATATACTGCCATTTTAAATGCGAAGTATTTCTTAGTGAACTTCGGCGACTTTGAGCGTATCTATCTATCTATCTATCTATCTATCTATCTATCTATCTATCTATCTATCTATCTATCTATCTATCTATCTATCTATCTATCTATCTATCTATCTATCTATCTATCTATCTATCTATCTATCTAGCCGCCTACGACATTTAGCTCTCCTGGCCGTTTCGATATTGTTATCAATACAAAACTTGGTATAGAATAACATCATTGTATGGCTAGCATATTTGACTAGTCAGAACATGAAAAGCTTGACATGCATGTCATGAATGTCATGATTTACATTCCATGGTCTTGCGGTGGTTTCGTTCACATGACATGTTGCAAAAATGGCATTGTATGACATGATTGCATGTCGAACACTAGTGACAGACCCTAACATGAAAATCATGACTTGCGTGTCGTGTAACATGGCTACATGCACCGCTCATGATGCGCTCGCGGCCATTTCACAAGCGTCACATATACCAAATTTGGTATTATGGTACGTGAATGCATGACGAAGATAGGAGACTGGTGTAAACATAATAAACATGAGATGCCTGTAATGTAACAACATGATTACATGCTACGCTCATGATGCGCTCGCGGCCATTTCGCTAGCTTAATATGTACCGAATTGGGTATTACGTGACGCGAACAGATGACATAGGTAAATCAGACATCGAAACATGATAATCAAGACATGCGTTAAACCCCATTGCAGCAGCGACAGCGGGATGGTCACGTACTGAAGTGAATTCTGTCTTTCGTGCAGATACCGTATCGTGCCCTTCCAGCGCGATTACCGGCACGTGTAGGGCATTCTACCGCAGTGAGGAGGAGCTACCATAGGCCTTGACTGATCAAATTCATCATTTGTGCCGATCTGTCAACCCGTTGAGGGCAGCCTGACGACACCGGAAGGAGCTTCCTGCGGCTCTACTGTGTGACGCTCCTGCTCTGAATTGCCACTTATAAAGCTACCGTCCCCACCAAGGCTCCATTGCAGCAGCGACAGCGGGATGGTCACGTACTGAAGTGAATTCTGTCTTTCGTGCAGATACCGTATCGTGCCCTTCCAGCGCGATTACCGGCACGTGTAGGGCATTCTGCCGCCGTGAGGAGGAGCTACCATAGGCCTTGACTGATCAAATTCATCATTTGTGCCGATCTGTCAACCCGTTGAGGGCAGCCTGACGACACCGGAAGAAGCTTCCTGCGGCCCTACTGTGTGACGCTCCTGCTCTGAATTGCCACTTATAAAGCTACCGTCCCCACCAAGGCTCCGTTGCAGCAGCGACAGCGGGATGGTCACGAACTGAAGTGAATTCTGTCTTTCGTGCAGGTTAGTAGTTAAGTAGTCTAAGGTAACCCTTCTGTTCAATTCGCTGTTGCTGCTGCTACCGAAGTACTGTAGTTTTTTTCTTTTGCAATTTATGGTGTGACTGAAACTTGTTAAGCGATGCCGACGTGTGCCGAACTTGCGAAGCGCATTGATGCAATTGAAGCGAACTTTAACAATGAGACTGACCGTCTGGCTCATGATGTCTTCGGTAAAGTCTTGTTGAGAATGCAATCTTCAGGAATTGATGTTAAGGAGCTCAAAAGCAAAATGGACGATTTAAAACAGAGCATGGAAATCCTGAATGGCGTTGTTGAGACACTGCGCTCAGAAAAAGAGGTACTCGCTGCCGA